AGCCCCAAAGGCTCCTTATCAAAGATCGGCGAACCATCGTGGAGACCGTCCACTTCGCCGGTAAGACGCTCCTCCACCTCCTCGGGTCCTTCATCATCAAACACAGGCGGACCATCGTACAATGGCCCGTCAACTTTCTCTCCGTCGAATTCGGAGATGTCAACATGATAATGGCCCTTCCATCGACCATATTCGCGATCAAGCCCACCGTAAAACTCGGGGATGTCGAACCCCACGAAGCCAACGCCATCATGTTCAAGTCCCCAATCGCATCGGGCACGATATCCGCCGACGAAGACAGCCTCCTCGTTTTTGCCTCTATCGACGCGTTGATCGTCACCGTCCACGAAGACCAGGCCTCGTCACCGCATGTCACGGCCGCCGTATGCAGCGAAGGGGTCAGCCTCGACGTGCAGGGTGAAAAATCGTCAAAGGGATTCATCTCCGAGATTGTCTCCTCGCCGTCTTCGTCGCCGGACAGCGGTTGTGGAGATCCCCGACGGGGCGCCTCGCCTGATCACGGCCTCCATGTCCTCGGCGAATTCTCCCGCACACGTCCCGGTTGCCGGCGTCACGGTACGTTTGCTTGTCCCGAACCATGTTACGATAGTTAGACGTATGTCCCCGATCTCCGCTGAAAGATCTGCAATCTGGTGACCCATCGTCTCGAGCCCGCGGCCAAACCACTCGATCCGGCGGCACAGGTTGTAGATGGTGGCGACACACCTGTTGTTTGCAGCATCTTCTCTTCGCGACAACATCGCGAATCGTGCTGACTTCTGATACCAACTGATGTAGGAAAGTGTACGAGTGGGAAGGATATGAATGAGATCTCAATCTCAAACACGATAAAAGCCAAACCAATCTTATTTTTATTCAATAATCAACCACCTAAAACAATAGATATGGAGTCCTTTAAATAAGGCTACTAAACCCTATTCCTAACTTGTCCAACAAGGCAAGATCTCTTATAATACTATTTAATTCTTAACTTGTTCTCCAAGATACCTATATTAATAATAATAATAATAATGATAATAATAATAATAATAATAATAATCTACACCATTATGGGAATACGCTAAAATTTGATAATCATATCACCTTGATTTGACAACAAATCGACCTAAAATTCGACTTTCATACACATACAAAATAAAATTCATACTACTTATTTATTTTTAAAATTTCCAAATACACTTCAATCCATACCAAATAAAACTCATACCATTTAAAATCAGACATTTCATACCAAAATAAAATCGCTTACTTTAAATATAAAATTGGATATTTATTAATAACAACACATTTCCTACTAAAAATAAAAATGTTCGTCAGATACCTAAAATAAAATTACTTACTTTATACCAAAATATGATTTTTTAATGTTTCCAATTTTATACCATAAATTGATTAATAAATTTCTAGAGGCGGGATTTTTTCAAAATTTTTAAAAAAGATTACCAAGTTTAGTAATTTTAAAAATTTTAGGTGATCCAATTATGAACAAACCTACTATAATTACGGTACCGTCAGCGTTGCGTTCACACTTGAATTGATTAATTACGGTACCGTCCCTAGTGTGAACGCACGGCTGTATGTTCAGCGTTGCGTTCACACTTGAATCGATTAATTACAGTACCGTCTCTAGTGTGAACGCAACGCTGTATGTTCAGTACCTCGTCCTGCTTGGTACGAGTCTAGATCTAACAACTCTTTCCCTTTAGGTTCTAAAAGTTGTTTAATTAGATTAGGCGGTGACCAATCAACTAACCCTAGGTATAACTCAACTTGCATAGAATGAACGATTCACAATAGCATGATAAAGACAAGAACCGCAACAAATCTCTTATCCTTAGCGACGAAATTAATTAATCATATCGAAATCAACACTAATAGTTGCATTAATCAAAAGCATCACATTCACAGAAAAAATGAAAAAGAAAGCTTACGATTAACATGAAGTTGAATGTTGAATCAAGATTACAAGCCCAAATCCAAAATAAGATTCTTGGAGTGTCACTCTCCAAGACCAAAACCAAGTCTATAAGTGAAAAAAGCTTAAGAATACAAGTTCTGGAATTGTTTTCTAGGATTGGGCACGAGTCCCAATATATAAGGGTTCCAAAAATTGCTCGAAAATTCAAAATTTAAAATCTAGATCGCGACCTCTGTGGGTCGCAGCGAAGCAGACCTCCGTGGCCGCGACCTGCTCTGCGGCTGTAGGTCTGTGGTCTCTGATAGGTCCGCGGGTCGTGGCGAACAAAACCTCCACGACCGCGACCTACTTCGCTCCCCCAAGTCTGGGGCCCTGATAGGTCCACGGGCCGCAGAGCTTCCACAATATCTAATGCCTATTGCTTGTCAGTTTTCAATGTATACTAACTCAGAAATACAGAAAAAAAAAAATAAAAAAAAAATATATATTGATAAGTAAGCTAAATCAGAAAATAATCCACTTTATAAGCAGCTAACACAAATTCACTACATCATAATAGAGAAAATCCCACATTTTTTTGAATGCACACAATTCACTTTACTTCACTAAAACACATAAGATCAAACCAATACAAATACCAAAAATAAACAACCGAATTCTCCTAATTCTATCCCCCATCAACTTCATTTGAGAATCAAATTTTCCATTGAAATCTTCAAGCATTGAAATCTCCATCTTCAGAACTTTTAATTCAGCCTTAAGCAAAACAATCTTCATTTCAAATTCTTGAGCCTTACAACCCAAATTTTGATTATTCATACCACTTGAAGATTCTGAGTTGATTTGGGAAGTTGGTTCGGCCCATATGAAAAAACCGCCATCTCCTTCCTTCCAGTTCTTACAACCATGGAGACTTTTGCCAAGATTCGAACTCATCTTCGAAGTCCTCAATTGAGCCTTCAATCCACAACAGCAAAAAACTTCAGACAGAGAAGAAAATAAAGACGCCGACATCTTCGTGATTCTCCTTCAATATTTCTGATATTGAAATCAATTATTCAACTCCAATGACGATTTCTAGGGTTTTCGAACATATGACCTAATTTTGCCCAATCAAATGAGGGATTGGGGTCAAATTTTGTGATTTCCGCCAATGTAGCACCTCGATCAACAAGTAACTGACGGGGCATCCACATTTGAAACGTTGCATCCACATAGAAAATTACTGAAATTTTAAATGCAACATCATAACCTAATCCGACCACGTCAAGATTTTATCCAAATGGAATCAAGTATCTTTTTCGACCAAATTGCCAACTACCTGTTTCTTTTCCTTGAAGGACAACAACAAAATACTTCGTTGTTGACAACGCCCAACTTATTGTATCAATTTTAAAATTTTGCCACTTATAACCTATGATTTACAAACTCCAAATTCACTCACAAACTATTCACTAACTTACAATTGATTAGCTAGATTTACCAAACATACATAATTGGATATACTTTTACTTACTTTCATTAACTTTATTAACGAGATGAGATGAAAAATGGTAATTCTGAACTATTGATGCAAGATGAAGATGTAATAGTTATAGTCTAATTTGATGTAAAATTAGTTAAAAACTTTTTTTTAAAATGTTATTAGTAACTAATATAGTGCCCAGTTCGTCGAAGAAAGTTGTATCAATAGATATATGTAATCATCAAAATGAACATAACTTACACAAGTTACAAATTGTCCATTTTCGGCACACTACGCGTGAAAACCATACTATTAACTAATCAGTATTTCGTCTCACAAACCTTGGTAAAATCCTCCTCCAACACATACAAGGCAATGTGACCCAGATAGTAAAGAAAGAAGGGAAACGAGCCAGCATCACAATGGACAAATTCCATCCCCGATTCCACATGAAATACACCTGTTTCGTACTTCAGTTTCATACCTTTAAAACTAATTCATATGCCTTTATTTCATATGCCTTGACGACCACTATTAAAAGATTTTATGCAACTCATCGGCCATGCCTGTCGTTCTTAACACTCTTATCGTCGTTCGTTTGGGGCGAGAATTGGCTGGTTGAGGATGGAGAGTAACCAGGTGCACTAGGAGAGTACCCAGCACTAGGACTGCAAGCAATCCCAAAACAACAACATAAGGCAAAAGAATGAATTAGGTGAATTTCATTCATATTCAGCACTCACCTGTACTGTGGAGAGCTTGGACTATAGTCGGGGTTTCCACCAGAACTATATGGGCTGAAAAATCATAATTTATTGGTTAGAAAGAGGATACAGCAGATGATCAACGTATATTAATATAGATTATCAAGGTAAATCTAACCAAGTGTCTACAACCATACACCATGAATTTTTATAGGGACAACTACAACTGCTTCTATATATGTATTATTATAGGATGGTGGAATTATTTGTAATTATCCCACTTTCTTTTTTCCTGTCTACTGAAAAAGCAGTGAGGCATACAAAATTTTCAGGCGTACAAAACCAATGTTAAACAGCATGTTCGATATACCTGCTTGGGCTATAACTTGGGCTGGATGGAGAATATGATGGAGATGTTGGAGAATATGAAGGAGATGTTGGGCTGTGAACAACGATATAAACAATAATACGTAAGTCCAAAGTCAGATTGCATATGAGAAAGGCAGTATCTTTGAAAATTATTAGTTAATGAACTGAATTCTGGCCACAACCTATGAAAATAGATAATGTGGCAACTATCAATCCACTCTCTCAAACAAAACAAAGTGATTTGACGAGTTAATGCAAGTCGGGAATTAGTAATTTAGTGATCATGATGAGCAAAAACCTGCCAAAAACGAAAATGGTAGGTTTTTGACATGTTTTTGCAAAAATTACCTGTAACTTGGAGAGGAAGGACTATAAGGACTCGAAGGCGAGATCTTTGGAGAAGTAGGTGAATATGCCAAAGATGGGCTGTATCTCGCAGATGGGTTGTAACTTGGGGATGTTGGGCTGTAACTAGGCGAGGTGGGGCTGTAACCAGGTGAGGTCGGGCTGTAGGCAGGCGAGGTCGGGCTGTATGATGGAGAAGTCGGGCTGTATGATGGAGAAGTCGGGCTGTATGAAGGTGAAGTCGGGCTATATGACGGAGAAGTCGGGCTGTACGAGGGAGAAGTCGGGCTGTATGCCGGAGATGTCGGGCTGTAAGCTGGAGATGTCGGGCTGTAAGCAGGAGATGTTGGACTGTAGCTGGGAGATGTCGGGCTGTAGCTGGGAGATGTCGGGCTGTAGCTGGGAGATGTCGGGCTGTAGCTGGGCGAAGTCGGGCTGTAGGTAGGGGAAGTAGGTGAATAAGATGGGCTGGTGGGAGAATAAGCCGGACTTGTCGGGCTATACCCAGGAGAGCTAGGACTATAGGTTGGGGAAGTTGGGCTGTAGCCAGGAGATGTCGGGCTGTAGCCAGGCGATGTCGGGCTGTACCCTGGCGAGGATGGGCTATAGCCCGGAGATGACGGGCTGTAGCCTGGAGAAGACGTAGGCGAAAACGCCATTCCACCAACATATGGAGAAAACTGAGCATCCGAAACGGGCGATAGCCGCAGATTCGGGCTCAGTAAATAGCTCGGCGACATCATGCCGTCCTGGTATGGAGTGCCCGTGATCGGCGAACGGGCTGGCGTCATGCCAAACTCCAGCCCTCCCTCCATGTAACTAGGCAGAGGTATCTCAATCGCCTGTTTCAGCATCTCCTCGTTCAAGTACAGCGCACAGTCCCCAGTGCCGATCGGCGCCAGCTGTCCCAGCATGATATTCTCCGTCACCCCTCTGAGACCGTCCTTCTCGGCAAAAACAGCGGCATCGAGCAGAATGTCTACCGTCTCCTCGAACGAGCACCTCATCATAGGGCCCGTGTCGTTTCGGTTGATGCCGTGCCGGGTAATGGCCATCAGGTGACCGCGGTACGTCATGGTGTCGCACAGTATCGCCAGGTGGCGGTAGTTCACGTATGACCCGTCGAAGGATATGACGACGCGCAGCTCGTCGAGCAGGGCTTTACGTACGGCCTCAATCCCGAGAACCTCGATGACCTCGATCAGGTGGTTGCTCGTCGTGCGTTTCGCGTCCACGTCCTCGTGGCAGATGACGGCCAAGAGATTGACGCCCTCTGTGTCGAGCATCCATTCGTTCTCTGCCTTGAACCCGTCGTTCTCGTCAAACTTGTTTATCTTGCCGTTCTTTATGAAGACCTTGTTGATGTCCGGTATGCCCCGAAGGGCCATCTCCGTGAGCATGTTGCTCTCGATCTTCTTAAGGAAGACGTCGTCCTCGGCCGACTCGTCGTTAAGCTCGCCCTTGGGGGCCTCGTCGTTCATGATGCGTATGCGGAGGATCAGCTTCTCGGCGTTATCGTCGTTGAATATGCAAGTGAGGTCGTCGTCAAACTCGAGGTTGATCTTCTCGGCAATGTCCGCCATGCTGAGCTTCTTGTCTACCATCATTTCGCGGTTCAGCTCTATGCGGAGCAGCCAAGGGGAGATTTTGTCGGGGTCAATCTCTTCATCCGGCATTTCATAGTACGATTTCACAAACTCGACATCTTCCTCGATTAGGGTGCTCATAGGGTCCGGATCGTACCAAACCTCCGTGGCTTGGGTCACACTACGTAGGGTCGTGTATTCCAGGGCGCACTGGACATTTTTGGCCCTCTCCTTTGTTTTGCTCACATCTGGCTTGAGATACACAGAGAGTGAGGGTGTTTTGATTTTCTTAGCAACATTGATGATCTCCCTCAACCTGGGTACGCCAAGAGTAACATTCTTGGCACTCACACCAGCATAGTGGAAGGTGTTGAGAGTCATCTGTGTGGCAGGCTCCCCAATGGACTGTGCAGCGACACATCCAATCATTTCCCCGGCTGCAACAAGAGACTGCAAAAACCGAGATTCGATCTCGCCAATGACCCACTCAAAAGCCTCGCGCGTAAGTCTGTACTCCTTCAAGACTCTCTTGCTTGCCAAGGCACTTCGAAGCAGTATGTTGAAGAAAAGAGTCGCATTCTTTTGGGCTTCCATACTCAAATAATCATCGCCCACAACCACCTTGAGTCTTTCTTGTAACTTATCGACAGCCTCCACAATCTCCATTGGGTGCATATCGGAAGGTCTTCTGAAATCAACTCTGAAAGTCTTTTGTGCATTCAAGATGAGTCTCTTGATATTAACTGGCAGAGGCCAGGAATTGTCACCTGTGGTCGCAATCTCTGTCCCGAGCTGAAACCTGTCAGCTTCAAGCTTCTGTACTTCTGCATCAAACACACTTCTGATTTCGCGAATAGTTTTTAAATCTTCCACAGCCTCAGGAAGCATGTAATTAGGGTTCCAGTTCGAATTATCAATCTCATACTTGTACATGTCATTGAAGTCCGACCTTTTCAGCTTCAGTGATTCAAGGGGCTGTGATTCAATCCAAACAGCATCCATACCATCTTCCCCGTAGAGAAACTGAATCACATCGCCCAATGAATTCCTGACAGTCCCATCATACTTAACCATGATATCCTCCATAGCCTTCACTAACCGCCTCTGGATATATCCAGTCTCAGAAGTTTTCACAGCAGTATCTATAAGACCTTCCCTACCACCCATTGCGTGGAAGAAAAATTCCTGAGGAGTTAACCCCCGAAGATACGAGTTCTCCACGAACCCACGACTCTCTGGACCAAAATCATCTTTTGTGAAGTGTGGTAATGTGCGATCAACGAATCCAAAAGGAATTCGTTTGCCTTCAACATTCTGCTGACCCACACATGCAGTCATCTGAGAAATATTGATAAAACTTCCCTTAGATCCAGCCGTGACCATAGCCTTGAGGTTGTTGCTTTCCGACAAGCTCTTCTGTGCACTACTTCCAGCGTCATCACGGGCCTTATTCAACACCTAAACGCATACAGAAAATAAATAAAGAAAGAACACTAGAAAAGTAAAGAATGATGGAGAAAAAGAAAGATGACATCAAAAATCATCAAGGCAGTTGATGACAGGTGAACTTATCAATAGACCTGGTTCACTCTGTTTTCAAATGATTCCATCATAGTTCGACCAGGTTCGGCCTCCAACTGCTTTTCTTGAGCAGCCCTGATTAGTTCTTTCACCTCATTCTTTGCATTTGAAATTGTTTCATTGATCTTCTCCATTGTTGCAGCATCAGCTATGGTGTCACCAATTCCCATGCTAAATGCATTTTGCAACAGCCAATAGTTGACAAGCCACTGTGTATGTCCCAGAAACTTGCGAGCTGCATCTGGACCGACCTCCTCCCTGGAACCATTCCCCATTATAACTAAAACAATAATAATCATAATAACACTGAGATTTGAAGGGCTAGCCTAAAAAATCCGATAGAAACTGATCGTGTTCGAGAATCAAAATTCTAACTTGTGTTTCTTATTACTCTTATCACATGCAGTACCACCCTAGATATTTCCGATTAACAATAAGTTGTTTCCAAAAACAAGAACATCCAGCATCCAAATCCATGCATACATTCAATCAACATTTATTAGGACTTGTGTAATAAATACGAGAAACATTAGATTATTTGATGGGACGTGATTCTGGTAATGACAAAGGGACGTGATTCTGAAAAATAGACATTAAAAGAAAAAAGATACCAGATAGTTAGACAACAAAACTCAATAACAAAAGTCAGTCAAAAATATCATTACTCGCTGAACCCATAAAATGCAATTTCAAAAGAAACAATCCTGAAGGGAAGTACCAAATAACATGAATCAGACTTCCACTTGATGTTCCAAGTGTCTTCTTGCACAAAGTGCCAGAAAGTAATTCTCCTTTTTCTATTCGTACTTGAGTATCTCCAGGAGTGATGAAACCTTTCTCACTCTCTTGATGCCATGCTGAGTACCTCAGCAGATTTATCTGCTTTGGTATGATCAGATTAAATACTTGTTTTCCAGTCCAAAGAGGTCTAGGTTTCAGAATTGCAGGGGCAGGCACTTTTCCATCAAAATCTTCCCACCACATCAGAATGTTCATGAACACATCCTACACATAACAAGACAATAATTTCAAAGTGGACGAAGATCCCTTTGAGTTGAATACTTAAGAAGATAAAATCACCAGGTTTACCTTTTCAATAAATGTGTCTCTTTTGGTAATTTTGCGGCATCCTAAAAGTGTATCCTGCACGATTCCCATTACAGGCCGATTTGACTGTGGTGAAACAATGCACTTTGGAACCATCATGAGTTCCAGCACTTCAGCTCTAGTTTCAAATGACTGGGGCACGTGCATATTCATTTCATCCCCATCAAAATCAGCATTGTAAGGTGAGGTAACAGACAAATTTAAGCGGAAGGTTGAGTAAGGCATAATCTTGATCCTATGCCCCATAATGGACATTTTATGGAGACTCGGTTGCCTATTAAACAAAACGAAGTCTCCATCGTTCAAGTGCCGTTCCACCTGTACCATGAATGAAGGAAATTAGGCACGACATTAAGCATTTTATTCCTAGATCAATGCTGAGTATGGATTCCCACCTTATAACCAAGTTCAAGATGCTGATCACTGCTTTTCTTCAAATAACGAAGATCAAGCCTCTGCCCATCATCCCTAATTATATACTTTGCACCAGTTTTCCCAGGAGGGGGATGAGGTCCATTTTCCACAAGCTCTTTCAGCCTGTATCCAGAGTTCGCTGAATAAGACACCAAAATAGTATGGAGGCTCAACAACAAAAGAACATGGCAAAAGAGGCAAACCTTTCGATGTTATAAGGAGTTACAGTCTCAGGATATGTAAGATTCAAGGCAATACTCCAAGGTACACCGAGTTGATCAATATTGATGGTTGGATCAGGCGTGATCACAGTCCTGGCTGAAAAATCTACTCTCTTGCCCATCAAGTTACCTCTGATGCGACCTTCTTTTGCCTTGAGCCTGCTACAGATAGATTTTATTGGTCTACCAGATCTTTGCGTAGCCTAGAGTAAACAAAGGCACTCCTTCAGTTAGACAAAGTGTTCAAGGAAATTAATTAGAGAGTACCAAACTCGAACATACAACCATACCCTCGGTTGTCCTGGTAATTCATTGTCAAAGTACGTTGCTACGTGAAACTGCAGCAACTGTGCAAACTCTGAGATGATATGTGCAGGAGCCCCGTTCCGCTCTTGCCTCTTCAAGTTCTCATTGTGCCTAATGATCATCGCCAGTTGATGAGTTAAATCATCCTGCATCGAGATAACCAAAATCAGATCCCCCCAACTTTAATAGCAGCAAGCCTGGAGTTACTGAGAAAATAACTCAAAACATACTTATCAATCCCACAGAAATACCATATATGTCTAACAGTTCAGTAAACTGGACACGAATATTTATAGAGATAAAGAAGCACCTCACTCCTAGCAGAAGTATCCATCATAACAGAAGGTCTAACAGGAGGAGGAGGGATTGGAAGAACTTGAAGAATCATCCAGTCCGGACGAGCATATTTAGGATTTAAACCCAACAACTGACAGTCTTCGTCAGTTATTCTCTTAAGAATGCTAAGAACCTGAAACGAAAAGCAATTACAAATACATTAGCAACATGCATCAACGAACACAACCAGGTTGGAATATAAATGTGAATGTCACTTATTTTAGCAAAGTGGCATACAATACCTTCTCTGCTGAAAGAATCTGTTTTCTTTCAACAGGTTCAGGCATCTGCTCCTGGTCATCACTTTTCTTCTTCTGGAGCTTGTATTCAGCAACCATCTTCATTCCATCAATAGATATTTTTGGCTGCTGAGCGCCACATCCACCTCTGCTCTTCTTCAAGGATTCAGACTCTTGACCTTGCACATCAATGTCATCACCTCCTTCACATTTGCTTTTGTTTTTGCAGATATCCAATATCTTCTTTAGTCTATTTTTGGGGTTTCTTATTCTCAATGCTTGCTTGAACTTTGAGTCCTCCTACAAACGATTATTGAAGAAAGTTAATCACCAGAAACTTATAGTCATCTGTACAGTTACATCCATTACATGGATTCTCTCAAGTGGCAAATTCAAGTAATTAAAGAAAGGTATTGGCTCATTGAACAGCACTATAAACATGAAACCAGCTGCATCAAGACCAACAAACAAATCAAACAGTTTCACAGTCAATATGCATTTCAATAAAATATATCATTTTGAAGACATCAACATCACTAAAGATTCCAAACTAGGTCAATAGGCAAGGGAAAGCTTCAAGTGTATAAACAATCCAGTTAGCCTTAGAAAGGTAACAAGGATCATCCGACAATGGATATCAAAGGGGCTCCTCCATATGCTACAGTTGAAAGGCTGATCTATATAATGCAAGAGTTGTCTAGCCTTCTACTATATAGCATCCTACCACATAGATATTTATGTTATATTAACAAGTGTAGCATCACAGCAACTAAAAACAGACAAGAAACCTAGCAATGGTACAACTAAAATGGTTTACACGACTTTTTTGCTTAGTTTGGCATAATCTGTCCGTAAATCTATCTTTATGGAATGCATTCAGCAGTTCCTATAGTTTCGCAATGTGATGACATCAAACACTTTCCTGCTAAAACAATAAAAAATGAAAAAGGATCAGTTCAAATTACTCAAAACCCTAACTTGGAAGGTTTTTACTTCGATTGCACTAGACCCAAGAAGTTCTAATCTACTCTAGAGCTTTTTTCGCAATCTAATAAACCGAAACATCTTGCACTCATTCATACTTCAAAGACACAAGATTCAAGGCAAAACAATCCATGAAGTACTTCAAATTTCTCAGCTTAGCAATCCAGGCATCCCATATCACCTCATCAACCAAAATTTTGGAACAGTTGAAGCAGACACTACGGAGAATACTGAGAACAATCTTCATGAATCCTATGTGAAACATGGGCTTCGCAAGCTCCAGGTGGCCAAAGTGACCTGGGCACTCAGCCATGTTGGCCATACACGTCTCACACTTCATCTTCCGATCAATTGTCCCCAGACGTGGGTCGCTCAAGCCCCCAATCTTCGGCTTACCTCTTTCCGTGGTCTCGCTGTGCTCTATGTGCACAACCGACATTTGCCTCTGCAGAAAGAATCAAAATAACACAGCATCAATCAACTGATCCCAATTACGCCCGTTCAAACACCCACTCAAACTGAACTAAGCTAAGGATATAGGAAAATAGAATTACGATCTCGTCAGGGCTGAGTATGCCGAATTGGACAACGCGGACTTTGGCAACCTCCGCCGGGGAATATGGGAACCGCAGATCCATGGTGTGCCGGTAGACGATACGGTTACTAGGGGTTTTTGTGCCTCAATAATTAGGGTTCAGTAAGGATTTTCGCGATGAAATTGAATTCTGTGGTTTCCCAAGCTTCCACTCTTCTTGGGGTTGTCTCAAATGATTTGAATAATTCAGCTAACCGTTAACTTTCGGAGGTTTTATCAGGAACCATGTTCGGGGATTTGCCCCTTACGAGGAAGGAGACTTCTGCAAAAGACATAAGCATTGGATTGAAGGGCTATTTATAGTTTTATAGTCGCAGCGGCTGCCTTGGTCTAGGCGCGTTAGGATGCGTTTGGCTGATGTTGTGGGAATCTATATCTAATAATCAATGACCTTATTTGGTTCATGATTTGGTTAATGGAATGGGTATTGGATGAGAACCAGGGTCGTCTCCAGAAATTTAGAGGCCCTAGACAAGTTTTTTTTTTTCGAATTCTCGATTTGAACTTGCGTGGTAATTAGGCTATTTGCAGATAGTATCAAAGAAGAAAAAACCTAATAAAAAAAGACTATTAAATAAATAAATAAATAATTGAAAAAAAAAATTCTTGTTTTTCTAGACTTTGGAATTAATAAATTACCTATGAGTTACAAAGATCTTTAATAATTTACATTCAATCAGTCGTTAGAACAACAAAGAGAAAAAAATTAAAATCATATCACTGTAAAGAATGTTTATTCTCACACAATTGTTCTAACCGAACATCATAAGAAAACAAATAAAATATTTAGGGCCTCAAATTTTCACACAAAGTATATATTTTGTCATTAACCTATTCATTAATTAGCTCATTCATTTGTATAATGGGCCAAACACATCACAAATACTTAGTATTGGAAAAAAAAAAATAAAAAAAAAAAAAAAAAAAAAAAAAAAAATGAGGCCCCAAATATAAGGGGAGGCCCTAGGCATGGGCCTAGGCTGCCTCCCCAAGGAGCCGGGCCTGATGAGAACAAAAATAATCCTGTTATTTGTTTATATGGAGATTTACACACATCATACGTGATTTTCCTATAATTGCAAACCTACAATTACGAATAAAATATTTGCAACCCTACGAAATCAGTGTATTTATTTATCTTAACTAGTGCGTAACCCGTGCGATGCACGGGTAAACAATATGACTTTCATAGCATGTAAAATTGTATTATCACATATGCATAATAAAATCTACATCTTAAGTTCATATTTTATGTTTTTTAATGGAATAAATTCCTTCACTTTAGGGATCATATTTATTTAATCTGTTCAAACTTGTCTACATATCGACAATTTAAATTTTGAATTTGAAGATAACCCGAATCTATGATTGCAAAATACCGTTTAATAATTAAATCAGCCGCAACTTTAGATTTGGTATTTTGAAACTTAGAAAAAAAAGTAAAATCATTAATTTAGGGTAGATATGTGATAAATCTATCTAGATCTTGTATGCATCACGTTTTATAATTAAAGCAATTTAAATATGGAGATTAAGATATTTTGAATCTCTGATTTAAACAAACACCATAAAAAATTTGATTTTGTATTTTGAAATTAAAAAAAAACATTAATTTAGAGGATGATATGTGATAAATCTATCTAAATCTTGTATACATCACGTTTCAAAGTTAAAACAATTTAAATATGGAGATTATTGCTATTTCAAATCTCTGATTTAAACAAAGACCATAAAAATTTTGATCGTTTCAAAATTAGACCCGTGTAGTATTTTTCGTTATAAATAATTGTCAAACAAAACAATTGAATTAGCCGCAACTTTATTCTTTTAATTGAAACTGCCCGATTTGATGGTTAGAAAAAATGTTTTCAAAAGAAATAAACAAATGATTTTTTTATTTTTTTTATATTCTTACTCTTAAATTAGTCGTAATTTTGTTTAAATAAAATTTGCTAATCAAAACATATGTATTAGCCGATTTTATAGAAAATAAAAAGTATTTGATATTTGAAAATACAAAAGCATATTTTTATGGTTAGAAAAAATAACACATAATTTTTATTATTATTAAATCAGTCATAATTTTTTTATTAAAAAAAATCGCCAAGCAAAGCAATTGTATTAGCCGAATATCTGGTTTTAAATTTGGAGAATATAACTGACCGATATTTAATTGAATTAGCAATCGTGGCGTACATTTCTGTTCAAACTTAAAAATAGCTTATAGTAACCAATAACCAAATTTAATTGATGCAACACGTGCATTATCAGCTTTTGATATGGACATCGTGTCAAACCATCACAAATATTCAATAGACCAAAGTTAAATTGCAGCCCACTTTTTTTAAAATAAAAAAGTAACAAACTCCTCATTTTCAGGACAATATTTAATGTTGTCCATTTTTTTAGTAAAAAAATATATTAAAAAGATACTATAAATGACATGTAATTAATGTTGATAAGTTTTGACCAAGGATTGACTTACTATTTTTTATAAATGTTAATTCTTATTATATATATATAGATGTGAGATTATGTGTTGCCATAATAAACGGATTCAGTTCCATTTTTTTATGTAACTCCTATTCATAAAAAAAATAAAAAATAAAATCCAACAATTTTCAAAACTTAATAGCTTTTTTGTTTGTTATCATTTTTTTATATATAATATATCAAATTAATCATCTTTTGACGAGGTTTAATTTGACATCTATATTTTATATACAAAAATAAAAATAATTTTATTTTTTATTAAATTGTTGTAGATTATTTATATTGTGGTTGCATATCCGATAAGAAAATAAAAAACAGAAAACTCTATATATATACTTATATGTTATACAAATTGTTGTAGATTATAAACCAAGTATAAACTGAATTATTACATGTTATGTACAAAAAAACGCAATATATACTAAATATACTAACTATAACCATTCCCAGAGAAGGGTCTGCCTGGGAGTAGTTGCTTTTGCGCTTTGCCTTACGCCTCTCTTTCCTTGCCATTAGTTTGAAAATGAAATAACAAACTATAGAAATAACCAACCAGACTGTCCTAGTGGATAAATCAGGAATACAGAAACAAAAACAGCAATGGGACCCAAGAAGAAGGAAAAGGATTAAATAGAGGAACTCCCGAACACTTGGCGATCTCAGACGTATCCATGGTGACTCGACTTTCTTGTGCTAGAACTTTGGTTCGGAAACACAAAAGTACTGTACGTACTTTTTTGAAAAGGTTAGGCTCAGAATTATTGGAAGAATTTCTTATGGGCGAACGACGGGAATTGAACCCGCGCGTGGTGGATTCACAATCCACTGCCTTGATCCACTTGGCTACATCCGCCCTCTACGATGACTAGGGAGAGCCCCAATTGGTAGAAAAAAACCCACAACCCCGTGGGGTTATCCTGCACTCGGAAGAAGAAGTCGAAAAAGGAATAAATATAGTGAGAGTTCGATTGAGGATCCGTTGGTCAATATCAGGTTTTTACAGATAGAAGAGTATCAGATCATGAAGTAAGGGGTAAGTGGGCGGGCAAAAACGGGGGTAGTTCAGTTTGAAATCGACGATTCATTCCGGCCCCAAAAAAGATCATGCCGAATGCAATAAAGAGACAGAGAATGCTAATCTAATGGTACAAACGAAGTCCCACCATTCCTTCACCGAAGTGGTTGACGACACAACAGCAAGATTGGCTTCTTTCGCTCGTTTCGTATAGTAGACTATGCATAGGAGTACCCACAGAGCGGTGAAAATACAGGATCTATTCCGACGAAATGCTCTTGATTTTAGGAGGACTATGAGGAGAATACATGAAGAAGACTGTAGCTCCGATAAGGGTAAGAAAGAGAGGATCCGATGTACGTATCCGCATGGTCAGAAAGTCTTTCTATTTTTTTGAATCAATCCTTAGGATCCTCGCAAATAGAAATAGAGAACGAAATAACTAGAAAGATTGTTAGAATCACCTTCTTCTAGAACATATACGAAAAAATATTTCGGTGTCCGTCTTGTACAAGAAAACGCAATATATATACTAAAAATATACTAACTATAACCACAATAGACAATTGTGATGAACATGGGAAACTTAGACCTTGCATTAACATGTTTTATAAACTAAACATATATATGATTCTGTCTACAAAAACATATACTAAAAATATACTGCCTATATACACAACATATATTGTCCATAATCTAGATCTTGTGAATATACTACCTATATGTTGTTTATATACACAACATATACTGTCAAAACTTTCCTTCCGAATCATCTACTTCGGTTTCATCTTCAACGTGAAAAGTGAACACAAAAAATTGATTCTTTGTCATCTCATATCAATTTTCTCGTCAACACACAAAATCATAATCCTGATCCCCGCTTTTTTTCTGCCAAAATGGAGACCTTCTCCTTAAGTCGTCTCTTAATATATTTTTATTGAACATCATCGGGTTCAGACTGAAAGTCGGCGGCGACGGGCCGTTCAATCACGCACTTTAATGCTTGACTTTTTAGATCCACTAGACTTCGTCTTCTTTCCAAATTGAAGATTTTTTTTTTTTGACAAGCTTTCGGTACCTTTCGTTGAAACTTTTGAAGACGAGAATTCGATCTATTTTGTGGAACATCTCCACCACCACGAAGAGGTGTGTTACCAACGTTGGGCAGAAGATTTTTTTTTTCATTTATTTGATGCTAGGTTTTTTCATGGAGAAAAAAGAATAATTATATGTCTTTTCTTGAGTATCTTAAAAAAAAATTAATTAATTGAATGTGGTTTTAGACTCCCATATTATTCCTTTAATTAGGCGACTGACCAAAAAAAACTCAACCAACCAAAGAGAAAGAAGGAAACTTTGAACAATCAGCCTTTCGTTGAAATACAAAAACTATTCTCAATTGTGGTACATTTACAAATAAAAATTGTGTGCCATATATGTGTAATAAAAAGTGTTGAGGCTTGCAGGAGTAAATTTCTCTTGTTTATATATATCACTAGAAGGCTACGGCTGTGCAATGCACAGCCGGCCCAAGTCAGGCATACATTTGATGTTTATTAAAATTCGAAGGGAATATAAAAATAATGGAAGGACGATTACATTAGTGAATTAGAAATTCACAACACATGAGCAGCAAAAGAGTTACAGTGTCTATTAAGCGACAACAAAATATACCAAGTTTGCACCAGAATTTAAAAGCATCTATACCTAAACAGATGCTTAGAATTCTGGGCAATATAATTGGTAGATACAAAAGTTCAGTTTCTGTGGCATACATGCCAATAAGAAGTTACAAAAAAGGCAGCAACATCCATATGTGAGTAGATGGCTAAAAGAGTTATCAATGTAGTTACAAAGCACAAAAGATATGGTCCATAGAATTTGTGATTCCCAAAAGTGAACATGCAGTCATACAGAAGTTAGTCCATTTTTGGACGACTTTTCTTTGTCGGGGTTGTATCACATGCCGGGGTGGTTTGCTGAGCTGTTTGGGTGGATGTTTCAGGAATTTGTGTGAATGGGGTGCTGCTTCCTGTGGTGGAGGATTGTTGGTTGTCGAAGTTGATGCGTTTTTTGACTGCCGGTTCTGAGGATGCAAGTGGTGCAGGTTTTCCGCGTGCTGGAGTGAGGGAGGTCAGAACGTTTTTTAGTGTTGGACTGAAGAGCTCTTTGTCTGGTACCTGTTCCGTGAATGTAGATTAGTTGCAGTAAGATGTTTGTTAAGTAATAATTTTATAGATTTTTTATATATGTCATAGTTGATATTATACCTTGATTGAAGCTGAGGCTGATGCTTGTTCTGCCAGGTGCTTAGGTTCGAGGAAATTTTTGTCTGCTTGCATGGCATCAACTGTATAAAGCTTTAGGACGGTATGGTGAGTCGATTCGTAGTGTTTGATGAAGCAAACCACACGATGTTCATTCATTGCTGCTGTAATTTGACCTGTCAAATCTACCCCCTGCAGTTAACAGGGAAAATATATTTTACAATAGTAAAAATAGAAGATGGCAGATATTTTAAGCAGTTCAGGTGGGCAGAGGGCACATTACAGTTATAAAGGGTGAAAACGATAACCAAAGCAATTGAATTGATTATGGATGCATAAATGAACACTTGATATTGGCAAATTATCTGCAATTTTTTTTTTCTTTTTTTGTTTCTGTATAAATTAATGCAAATGAAGATGTAAAATAACCTGTTGTTCGGCTTCATATAAGTCAGTCCCATTAAATGGAATTACTCGCTCAGCATTTGAATCATACAACATTGCATGTATGTTTCCGGTTGCGTCTTCAATTGCAACTGGCAATCGACACCTAATTGTCATGAATGAACAATATGCAATGTATATTAGTTTGAGGCAAATATAGTTAACCAAAATAGGTTATGAAATTGTAATGAACATAGAAGGTTTGGAATCACTCATGTATCCATTATTTGGCACCAGAAATGCTAGGACCAATTGTATCTATAACAAGATAAATAGATAATATTAGTAGAAGATAATTCAGCAAGATTAATAACACTATACAGTAATTATGTGCTGGAGCATGGAGATTTAGAATAATTCAATTAAGTTGGTTGTGTGCCCTGTAGAAATAAATCTTTTTGAGGGTAAAGTATTTTGGGTAAGCAGCATAGCACGTGGTATTCAATGAAACAGAGATATAGGAATAGCAGGATCTCAGATAGCTTCAAGGACCAAGAAACTTTTATTTGGAAATAAGCCCAAAACTGTATAATTGCATACCTACAAAGTGATTTTATTTTGTTCATAAAAGTTGGAGTTATCTATTGATTAATTCAAACATTGCTTGAACAAGGGTATCTTCCCTGCAACTGCGACATTTCACTGGTGTATTTGGAGGAACATCGTAATTTTTGCGGAAATTGTTGCAAGTAGCTGTCCATAAAGATCTTTTGTCCCCTAAATATTTTAGCTTGCCAGCGACCCAACAAGTTTTAGTCTAGCCAAGAAATGATTAAGTCAGTGGGTGAATTTTTTAAATGTTGAACTTATGGTGCTGAATATATTATTTGATTTGTATAAGTGTAACACAGTGTAGCTTACGTATCTGATTGAGGCTGTTGCGCGTTGTATAGTGATTATATCAGTGTCAGATGGGTATGGAAACAATCGGTCTGTGTCTTTATACACGCCTTCCTCCACAAGCTTTGCAACATCTGTTTTCTTTTAAGTGTACCTATTAAAGAGTATGTGAGACGCACTAAAGAGATATGTTGTAATGGTACAATGACTTTATTAGAAATTAATCAATGCGTACCACTGCTTCAATCTGTCAGTAGCCGGTATCGGTGGATTTATCATCAAGCAACTTCCTGTCTTAGTCGATAAGGACAGTCCTTTATGAGGGCAATTGTGTTAGTGAGACATGAACAAACAATTATTTTTTATGTATAAAATTAAACTGCGGTATAGAATACCATTAAATGTCGTAACTCTTGCTCTCATGCATAAAACTATGTTCCCAGTTGCGACTGTGCTAGCCAAGTGTTCACCCACATCATCTTCTGTTTCAAATTGGTTTCAGAGAGTCAAAAGGATTGGCTTTTCCCTGTGGAACAAAGATATATAAGTATAATTGATATATTTACAAAATTTGATGATGTAGAATAAAATGCTTACTCTTCATTCACAATGACCAAGTCTCGTGTTATATTTTTTTGCCCAAGACTCTTCACCGGAGAAGCATGTACAATAACACCAAGCAGGTCTAGTAAAGTATAAATGCAATAGTGTTAATTGGTGTGTTGTTTAAGAAAATGATGCAGTAATTTTAAAGAAACAAAGATTTTTTATTTTAAGCAATTGAACTTACTTCTGGAATTTTCTGTATCAGCATATCTGTGCAAATCCTCAAACGCGTGAATTTCGATTTGGCATGGAAGTGGAGGAGGCACCTCTTCTTCAAACTCCTCAACTAAAGTCTTTTTATGCAGGAGCCAATTGAATTCGTACGGGCCAACTTGGTACAGCGGGGTTTCTGGCCGCACCTTGGCTCCGGTAAGGTAGTATCGCTTGTACGGAAGTAAAAGGCCATCAAATTCCTCCATGGCTGCTTTATAAACAACAGCAACTACTTTGGTACCCTGTTATGTGAGAATAATGAATTTATTATAAATTTATTTGAGGTTTGTTTTGAAAGTAAATTAATACACAAAAGCATAAGGCATTTACAAACCTCTCCATCAGTGAATAAGTATCTTCGATAGAGCACCTGCGGATTACTTTTTCTTGTTTGAATCGGTGCTCTTTCAACGACTTGAATGAACGCAGTCCAGTGGCGCGTTTCATCAGTGATTTGGCTAATGGGCAAATAGGCCCTCGACATAATCACCTGCATTTATTGATAAGATAATATTAAAAATTTGTAAAATAGTAGAGTTTTTGTAAATTGGTCTTTAGTAAAGTAAACATTTTTTTTTTTTAACATAAGAATGTAAATATTCAGTACATTGTGTAGCGGAAGCTTCTTCTAGCACTTCATTGTAAACAATATTTTTTGTAGCATAATTTTTGTGGGGATCAAAAAAAGGTGGTTTAATAACAAATCTAACTGTCGATGAGAGTTTTGCGCGCGATAGGGCTACATAAAGTTGACCATGTGAAAAGACTGGTTCTTTTAAATAAACACCAACTAAATCCAATGTCTGTCCTTGGGCTTTATTAATTGTCATAGCGAAACATAATCGAACAGGGAATTGAATTCTTTTGTAAGGGACAGGAAGTTGGTCATCACTTGAAGGTTTTAATAGAATTCTATGTATGAATACATTTTTCCCTTTGAATTCTCCTACAGCGATTTCTGCATGAATAATGTTTCGGCTTAATTTCTTACAAATAAGTCGCGTTCCGTTGCATAATCCTTCTATTGGGTCTAAATTCCTGAGTAATATGACAGGAGCATTTACTTTTAGCTGTAGTTTATGTGGAGGCATACCACCAGGTGTTAAAGAATTGATAATGTCTTCATACATGCCTTTATGAATGGGGTTGATTACTTCATCAAAACTAAGATACTCAACTAATTGTCCAGGGAAATCTTTAATGAGTTTGTTATTTATTTCATCAACAAAATTGTTTTTTGTAGCTAATATTGCTCTATTCATAGGGAAACTGGGCTGGTTATCTTGGTTTTCTTAAGTATAGATAGTTTTTTGCAGTGAAGTGCGGCAAATTTCAGGATATATTGAAGTTATTAATTCTTGTAAGGCAGCTTCAGAATCTGTGTTTTTTATTACAAGCGAAGCAGGTAAGTGAATTGTATTGTTTCCATGAGTTGGCTCTATTCCATTTCCTATTCTTAATAAGTATTCAGTAAAAGAGGGATCATATCGTGCTCTCATATTTTGCTTGAGTTCAATTTTTTCAAGCAATGGCCAAATATAAGAATTCGTGATGCATGCACTTATTGTATCTTTTTTATTTCCTTTTCGTACAACTGGAAAATTTGTCTAAAATCACCACCGAAAATGATAACCTTACCACCAAAAGGTTCATTTGAATCTGTTAAGTCTTTTAATAAGGTATCGAGCGACTCTATTGATGATTTCTTAGCCATTGGTGCTTCATCCCACACAATTAGTTTACTTTCACATATTAAGTCAGCTAAATTACTTTGTTTACTAATTTTACATGTTTTTCCCTTTGACAGATCTATAGGAATTTTAAACCTTGAATGAGCTGTTCTTCCACCGGGCAAAATTGAAGCGGCAATGCCAGAAGTTGCTGTTGCCAAGGCTATATATCCTTTAGATCTAAGGTCAGCCAGTAAAGCTCTATAAAGGAAAGTCTTGCCTGTTCCTCCAGAGCCATCAATAAAGAAAGCACCTAGTTTTCCACTATAGACATGTTGTTGTATTAGAGTGAAAGCGTTTTTCTGGTCTTTATTAAGTGAGAGAATAGTATTTAAGTCTTCTTGGGTAACCACGATGTTTTTCTCTACTGTTATTTCTCTATTGTTTTCTCCAATGTCAATAGGTATATCACGAGGTATTATGTTGAATGCATGGATATTTTTTCCCATTGATTCTAGAAAACCATTTATTTGTTCTAAGACTTTTCTCTTAACATCTACTTTATTTAAATTTGAATGCCTTGTGAAATCCTCGGACATAGAAGGTTCGAATTTTTGAAATAGATCGGCTGGATTGTTAGGACATGAATAAACACGTAAATTTGCAAAAAGGCGTCTCATTTCATATGGCATTTTAAAAAGTGATGCTTCTTCTAAGCATAATTCTTGGGTGTTATCATCTTGAAGCAAGCCTCTTGCAAGAGCAGCTTCACGATATGATTTAGTAACTTTTTTATTAAACGTCCTAATATCTTTGTAAGATTTTGGGGCTCTAATGTGCAGAAGTAGAAGTTTAAGGTAATATCTTTCACCTTCATTTGGATGCACAGTAACTATTCTAGCTATTGAATCTTTTTCTGCTCGTTTTTTCCATCTTTTCTCTTCTGTTAGCCATACAAAGTGTTCTGGGAATTCTAAGTAAGTCAAATTTAATTTTTTTTTGCATTTGGTCTGTTCTATTCATGAAAAAGAATTCTGTGAGCATAGTTCTATGGTTTCGTGGATTATTTACAATTCTGTCTAATCTTTCCCCTTTTTTGTAATTGATTGTTTGATAATTTTCTAAATGCACTGGCAAATTAATAACTGCTGGTTTTGTTTCGCTAATTGGGAATCTATATATCCTCCATGCAGCTTCAGGCGGAGAAACCCAACGGGTTGTCCTAAATTGTTCTATCTCGTCAATTTGCACATTTTGATTCGATGTATCTATACGCAAGGCAATTTTGTCATGGCCTTTACAAATATATTTATAAATATATTTCACAGCTCGTATAGAAGAACAAATTTCTTCATTTATATGACAATTAAACTTTGCAAGTAAGTACGGGCTATAAGGCACGACCCATCTATTATCTAATTTACAGCCTCGTACTTTTATTTTCACATTATTATCTCGCCTTTGATATTTTGGATATGAATTATTACTTGAATAGTTGTCTCTGAAAATTGTTTTGGATAATTAAATCTACACTTATTTTTTGAATTCATGCATGAATTAGTTGGATGTAAATCTCCACATGGCCCATGCATCATATGTTTTTTGACCATATTATATAAATGTGGATTTAATGTTTTTTCTGGTATTTCAGCACTGACAATTTTGTCAAATTCTTCAGGCCTATATAATTTATCTTTGCTTGCTAGGATTATCAACATGTGGGCATGTGGTAAACCTCTTTTTTGAAATTCTATTACGTATGTATATGCTACTATTTCTCCGAAGATATTTTTTTTTTAGAATATCCTTTTTGAGCTCTTCAAATTTTCCGCGGAAGACTCTAGCCACTAAATCAGGTCTATTCTGCGACTCCTCGTTTTGTTTTAAAAGTTCTTTAACTTCAGGCCAGTTCGGATTACATGTCATAGTTAAAAAAATGTCAGGCTTTTCAAATCTTTGTACTAATGTCATTGCATCAAAATATCTCTTTTTCATATTTCTTGGGCCACCTATAAAACTGGCAGGCAAAAATACTCGCTACCCAATTTTGGACACATTTGTTTCTCGTGCTGCTATACAATCTTGTATGCCTTGTAAGAATTATTGTCTTATTTCAGTTTGTTGTTTTCTTAAAAAGTCTAACCTCTGGGACTCAATTTTCACATACATATCCACTATATATTGTTGAAATAATCTACCAAAATTTAATAAGCATGACTCATCATTTTCTCTTATCTGTAATTTGTATGCATAATAGTCCCTCATTGAAACAAAATTCCAACTCGATGCTGACCAAATGTTAGCTGGAAAGATAAGACATTATTTGTGAGTAGTTGTCATATATGTCAATAGGGTTTTGTTTAAAATCAATAACTGGCAATCTGTAAACACAGCGAAAAATATTAGGATAAGGTATTTTATTTATTAACTTACCATCTTCTGCTTGGATTCGTTCTTCAACTGATTTCATATGAGAAGGTGTAATTGCACGCACCGATGTTAGTGGATGCTTTTTTTTTTTTGAAGTTGCACCGCTTAATTTTTCAATACCTCGGTGCCAACCAAGTTCACCGAATGGAAAAAGCAATGGATATTGCAATGGATCATAACAACCAAAATAATATTGTATTCTATGTGACAAGCCAGTACGATTATACACTCTTATGTTTCTTTCAGATGTTTCTTCACTATCTTCGCCCTCTACCCATATTGCAGCTACTTGAGATGCTTCTGGCTTATTATAAACTCTTTGATCAATTTTTGGTATAGTCTTTAGTATTATTTCATATTCAGCTAAATTATCTATCTCATTTAGGCTTCTAAAAAAACTGTGCATATGGATTGCTCCTTAAAACACTCAGTATTTTTTCAATTATAGATTCTGTTAATCTAGGGCAAGCCTTTAATCGATTTGCAATTTCATTTTCAGTGTCATGAAAATATAACTGCAAATTTTGAGATGACTCTAAATCATCTAAGAAGTGGTACAGTTGCCCTTGTATCTTAAATGTGTAAATCCCTTTATTGCGTTTACTTAAATTTTCATCACATTTGACCCCTAAAAATGTAAATGCAAATTGGTTGTTGATAGTTCTAATACAATCTCGGAAAAGTTTAGATTCCTCATTTGTGGAGAAAAGTAAATCTTTTATGACATTTGGCAAGGAGTTATTTGCTAATACGATTCTACCACTGGAACAGCAAAATGCACTTGTTTCATATGGAAATTTTATAGCATTACAATAACAACATTTTTTGGTAGGTGGGAAAATAAAAGGCTCAGTTGCTATGTTATCCAAAATAATATCAGTACAAAAGGGTTGACTTTGATAAGCAAATGTATTTTCCAAACATGAGGGGTGGGCCTTTTTTTTTGCTTCCACCTTTGAATAGCATTCTGCTTATATCCTTTGTTAGGAAGGTCCACAGTACAACTCGACATTTGCAAAATTGTTTTCTTTGTTTTATTGGCTATTGCAGAATTTATTGGTTTATCTATCTTGCTTATAGTAGGCCCCAGCCTATTCATTTGATGTTCATTGATGTTTTTGTTTGTTTGAGTAGAAACTAAATTTAAAGAAGTATTTGCTGAGTTTTGTCGAAACGTACTCGCATGCTCGGCTTCGTTGGAGATATTCTTCATTATTAAAATTCTGCCTTTTTTTGTTTTGTTTTTCCATTTTTCAATGGCATATTGACGATATCTTTCTTAGAGTTTGGAATTACGTTCAGGTACTGCCAATTTTCCGACAATGCCTTATTCCTATTAGACATTTATTGCACTAAATTGTGTAGCTTTTAAATATAACAAAACCAAGTTTAAAAATTTAGAGTAGCTCAGAAAACCAAACCAGTTATATATGTTTATAATGTCTTAGCTGATAAACTTATGATAACAGAAGGACACAGTTTTTTTTTTTAATATTTGTTTTTATTGGTAATATTTAGCCTAGACACTTGAGCCAATGTTGTTTGATTTAGCCTATCTTAATTTTACCATACAAACTGTAGGTTTGAACAGTGACCTAATACACCGGAGCCGCACAATGTACAGAAACACAAAGAGCGAAGGAACTATGAATAACCAGCAACTCAGTAAATTTGGCTAAATAAACAGGAAAAACAGAGAAATCTTATCTACATAACAAACAGACACCTAGGATTAATGCGTAAAGTGAAAAAGCACGCAAGCAATAACTAACAGGGTAATAGTAAAGCTAAAGCTAAACACAGCAGAAAGCAAACGAAAAATAGTTAATAGGCAATTCGTACGAAAGGAAGCTAACCTGATAGCAACCAACAAACACTTTCTTATTCTTTCTGGCTTAGAGAATTTAAACAATTTGGACAGCAGTTCGACCCAATAATAAAGTGACCTACATATTTAAATTTATGAATAAATAATCTAAGAAGCAAAATATCACCATATAAATAAATAGCATGCATGAAAATTTGATGCATATACATATATTAACACAAAGAATAGCCCATGAACCAACAGACAAGCATAGCACATGGACGTAATCAGAAGTTTCTTATTAACACTATGTTTTTTGATATCTGTAAAGCTACTAAATTTTAACAGCAAACAATAAATATATGTCCTCCGATTACCTGGTATATCAACTTTTTGCTATAATGAACAGCGACGGTAGATCTTGAAGGCAGTAAACGGAGCACCACCTTTTTAACACACAAGAAAATGAAAAACAGTAATTAGATTGTAAAAAATGGAAGACTAAAAGTTTTTTTTATAAAATGTAAGGAAAAAAAATTCTCCACATAGAACATAGGCAATCTTCTTCAACAATGACAACTAAATTCAAGTTTATACAATCATAACGACATTACGAACTTGATGCAATACAAACAGGCTCTGTACTAATCTAAAACAGAAGGTACAACGCAAGAGAAATTTCGCATATGTGCAGAACAACAGCTAATGAACTGACACTAAAAACCGAATAAAGAAGCAAATACAAAAGGTACAAATCATTTCTATTTTACAATATGTAACTTAAAGCAATATATTAATTATTTAATGAAAAACAAAAGACCACATATTTCAACTCTGCAGAAACCAACACAAAGGTGTTTTGTTCTTTTTTTGGGCACAAAACTTCCTATTACTGTAGAAAAACACCTTCTTTTTTATTGTACAGCCTTCCACCAAAATAGATTTGAGAAAAGGCAAATATACTTCATCTTGCTTTAAACCGACAACAACACGGTTTGTTTTCTTGGTTAGAGAATGCGCAAACAAACCAAACAGTCGACTATAGTAAGCGAATACTCCATATGAACATATAAATGAGTAATCTGATATCATCTGCATTTCATTTTTCTTTAAGGCAAAATGTTTGGAATAGTTGGAGAAGAAGTTACTTGAAGATACCTGTGGTAGAAGTGAGATGTTTACTTTTTTCTTTGGCAAAGTAAAATGATGTTACTTATATATATAATGGCAGCTTCACCAAGACCGATGCCTAATATTATATTGTTAGTGGAGCTATATCAAATAAGAAACCTTTTTAAAAATATTAAATTTTCTCAAACAAAACGTCTTACACACATATTGTACCGAAAAAAGTCTAAAAAATCAAACCAAAAGCTGCAAGCAAATAATTCTCATTACATCGGCCAGATACTTTGTAATGATTTGCATCAATTTCCCTATACAATAAAGGGCTGCATATACACTACAGAATATGAACAGAAGATGAGAAGGCATTTTTCTTCATCATTTACCTATTTACCTATCTTCTCAGTTCAAGTAAAAAATGGAAATTAAATTGGCATATATAATAGCACGGCAACTATCACAGAAGAGCCCATAAGTCCCAAAAAGACCATGGTATAGAGATTAAAAAGAACCAAAAATAAAAATAAAAAATTGCGAAACAATTGAGAAATATTTAAGTTCAACAAAATGAGATGAAACAACGAAAAATGTAAAAAAAAAAAAAAAAATAAAAAGAAAAAAAAAAATGAGAAAAAAATTGAGCTTCCCTGGTTTGCATGTCCAGCAAATCTATCGGGGAAGGCATTGCGTGAGAGCGTTTGACGCGCCGCACCAGCTTTTCTTTCCTCCGCAAAAAGACCCATTAAACCTAGTTGCACGAACGAAACACAAAAAAGAAAAGAGGTTAAACTTTTTGGGTTAGTTTCGTAGCCAAACGATGCAAAATACATTAAAATTTATTCGCACAAACCCTAAAACAATAGAAAGCAGGGTAGCGCACATCTATTTTGAAATTATTTACCCTAAATTGACGCAGCGAAGGGCGAAAAGAAGATGGACCCTGTTTTATAATTTCCGCAGTATAGGCGAAAAAAAAAACGGATTAAGAATGACTGATTGAGGAGGACGACGGTATCGAAAAATCATTCTGCCCCCAAAATTAGATGTGAAAAAACTAGCAAAACACTAAGCGACAAATAACCTCACACTGCAATAAACGACATCGCTTCAAAAATAACAAAAACGACGTCGTTTCGAAACAAATGGACATAAGCTCTTAAATTCTTGCGCCACGTGTCGACCGAAGGAGCTCATACCTTCTTTTTATATATTAAGAGTAATAGATGTTGCTTCAAAATTGTTAAGTGATGAGAAACAAAATTGAAGCAAATGGGCCCCTGTATAAAGCTAATCTTTTAGGAAGTTCAAACAAAAATGTCTTAATAGAAATCCAATAACCGTTACTCCACAACAGAGGTCCAAACAACTTTTAGTGGGCTTTGATATTTCTCATTGGGCCCAGCTGTATATTAAAAATGGTTTTTGACATGTCATCAAGAGTAAACCAGTGAGGATTTTGTTTGTACACAATTTAGAATAAAAGGACACTCTATGAATTTTTTAAAATATTTTTTATATTAATAATATGGCATATTAATTAAGTAAAAAATGTGGATTTTTTTTTTCATTCTTTAAGTCTTAATGGTCATTTTTAACATTTGATAACTGTTCTTTTTTAAAGAAGGAACAACAGTTCCATATTTCTACAAAATTTAAATTAAAACCCAAAACCTATAGAATAGAGCTGCAAAGGAATTAAGTTGCAAAGGAATTAAGTATTGAATCTATTGATTCATCTATCGTTTTGGTAAAAAAAAAAAACAAAAAAAAGAATCTATTGATTTAAAACTATAATTTCCATTTGTTTTTTTCTTTCAAGTATACTAGTACGAATCTCATGCGATGCACGGGTAAGAGATATTCATCAATATTTATAAATTAAAAATACTAATTAAGTAATATTTATAACTAAAATATAGAATCAATATGTAATACAATTTACCTATATTAATTTATTAAAAATGTTGTATGAAATTTAAATTGTGCAAAATTACATAAAACATGTCTATTTAAAATTAGTACGCAACCCATACGATGCACATAACTGATAATAATTTACATTCTATTCATAAAT